GACACACACACATTACATACATACATGCACACATATATTATCACATCAAAACCTACGTACGGAATGCATGTATACATGCATACGTGAATACATACATACATACATACATACATACATACATACATACATACATACATTCATTCATTCATACATACATACATACATACATACATACACGCATACACGCATACACACATACATACATACATACATACATACATACATACATACATACATACATACAAACCTACATACGAACATGTATACACGCATACATACGTACATGTACATAAATATATATGTATATGCGTCCATGACTGCATACAACTATACACATTCAAAGATGCATGTATACATGTATGCATACACACACGCATACATACCTGCACATACACCTACGTACACATGCATACATACACATGTACAACCATACATACGCTTACATACACACATACACACATACGCACATACACACATACATACATACATACATACATACATACATACATACATACATACATACATACATACAGACATACACACACATACATACATACACACACATACATGCACAGGCGTACACACATGTAGACACACATACATGCAAACATAGATAAACATAAACATACATGCATGCGTTGACCTATACATACACACGAACACGCGAACACACACACACACACACATTCACACACACACACACACACACACACACACACACACACGCGCGCGCGCGCGCGCGTACACGCCCCACATTCGTAACACCATGTCGAACGTACGATTCATCATCGAAGGCGCAGCGTAGTGATACTGTTGCGCGCACGTGCAGCTACCAGCCCAGGACAATCCCTCGCATGCCAGACTAGCACCAGTCGGCGCGTACGGTCCGCAAGCACAATCGTCATTCGAATCATCAGTTTTTGCTCCTCATGACTCCATTCTTTCCCGCCGCCCCCCATGCTCACTTCTTAGCATGAAAGCAGCGGTCCTGTGGGAACGGTTCGTGGACCCCAGAGCCTTCCCCTAGGACCAGTTCTTCATCCTGAATCGTTTTCTCACTGTCCCCTGGCCCAGGGAGGGCCCCGAAGCCCGAAAATGGCGAAAATCGTTTGGCCATGTTTCCCTCAGGACCCGTTCCCTTCTTGGCGAAGACCTCCCCTCCCCCGGTCCGAGCCAGAGTCCGAGCGGTCATGCTTGAGCTAGCCTGGGTATTGCCTGTTGGCGGCGCGCACGAGGGGGTGGGGGGAAGGGGGGCAGGCTTCTTGGAAGGAGGCTCCTTCTCAGAGGGCGCTGGCCCTACGTCCACAGACCAGGCCAGCGCCTTCTAAGCAGGAGCGCTTCGATTAGAGGCCTCCTAGATGGGGTCGGAATAGATGTGGTCGGGGGATCGCGCCGCATCGCCGATACATCGGCGATGCATCGGCGATGCATCGCCGATGCGCTGGCGATGAATCGGCGACGTCGGCGACGCATCCGCGACGTCGGCGTTGGGAGAATCGGGCTCCACATCGAGCCGCATCGCCGATGCATCGGCGACGACACGGCGCGATCCTCCGACCCTATCTGCTCGGACCCCATCTGCGAGGCTGCTTCTCAGAGGGCGCTGGCCCTACGTCCACAGACCAGGCCAGCGCCTTATAAGCAGGAGTGTTTCCAAGAAGCCTTCCCCCCCCTACCATTAAGTCGGGCGTGTCCCCCTACATTTGGGATGTTCGACGAAACATAAAGATATACCCAACATATACTCCAAAATGGTCAAAAAAATACTCCAAAAATAATCCCCAGGCATTTTTTTTTTTTTTACTATTTTTGGAGATTCCCCCTGTAGAGGTCGGGAGCGGCCAAGAGGAGGGTGTCCAAGAGGGGGGGTGCAGATCATGACCGGCGGCACGTGCGCGGCCCAGCGGGGGGGCCAAGGGACGCAACGAACTAAGAAGAAGACCCATGAAATCTTGGGAAATATCATGGCCCCCGCCATGATATCCACCCCCCCCCTACAGTCGGGGCGTTGACCTAAGGAACCCTAAATAAGGAACGAGGCCCCTTGTTTCCATAAGTTAACCTTCGACTTCCTGTCGAAAACATAAGGGCACCCTGAGGCAAGCTGTGAAACACTTAAGGAACGCGGAGCCCCTCCCCAACGAAAAGCGTTCCTTCTTCAGGGCCCCGACTGTAGTCATCACCCCCCTCTTTTCCTCCCCCGAAGAGGGACGGACCCGACTTAAGCCTACCCCCCCCCTTCTGCGCGCGGCCCGAGCCTGCTCGCTCTCCACCAGCAGGAAGTCCACCCCCCAGCGGCTGTACTGCCGCCTGCCGCGCGCGCGCCGCGCCACGCGAGGGAGGAGGGCGGAGGGCAGTGCAGCAGGAGCTCGACCACGAGAAACCTGCCACAAGGATTCGCTCGGGCGTGTCCCCCTACAGTCGGGGCGTTGACCTAAGGAACCCTAAATAAGGAACGAGGCCCCTTTTTCCCATGAGATAAACTCAGATTTCCCATGGAAAACCTCAGGAAAACCCAAGGAGCACTGGAAAGCAACTAAGGAACACGGAGCCGCTCCCCAACAAAAAGGGTTCCTTCTTCAGGGCCCCGACCGTAGCTCGGGCGTGTCCCCCCACAGGGGGACTGTGGGGCGGAAAATAAAAGATACTCAAAGCATACTCCCAAATGTGCCAAAACAGATTCAAAAGATGGTCCCCAGACTACTTTGTGACTATTTTGGAACCTCCCCCCTTATAGAGGAACAGGCCCGACTTGACACAAGGAGCCCACCCATGAGGCCCCAGGACGTCCACTGATTCCTGGTATTTTTGAATACTCCTCCTGTAGAGGGACACGACCGACTTAAAGATAGGCCCCCGATGGCAAACGCTCACGTTCCTGGACGGGGTGTGCTATCGGGCCCCCAGCAATGAGGAATGGGCGATTGGTGGTCCATGCATCCCCACTCTGAGCCTATCCCCACCTAAAACCACTGCCCCTGAGAAGAAGGCGAAGCGTGAGGAGACGGCTCGAGAACCATAAAGTCAGAAAATCACGCAACCACAGACCTTCGGGCACCCACGGGCCATGTTTTTCTGCCGGCGCAGGGCGCCCTCGAGGCTTCGTGCGCCGGCGCCATGCTGTGGAGGGGTGTGGAGAGACGGTCTGGCGCCGGCGAAAGCACCTGCCGCGGGCGGTTTATGAATATGCGCTTTGTCGGCCCGACGAGGAGACGAAGAGGACTCTTTCACCGATCGGGGAGACCATCGCGAGACAGTCTCGGACAGCTGGCCACGGTGCGCACTTTCTGCAGCCTCCCGCCTCTCATTCAAAACATCACGAGGCGGGCACAGGTGATGGGCCTGTTTTCCACCACCACCACGACCACCATAAGTTGGAGGGGGAGGGGGTCCTCCTCCTCCTCCTCCTCCTCCTCCTCTCCTCCTCCTCATTCTCCTCCTTTTCGTCCTCCTCCTCCTCGCCCTCCACTTCCTTCACCCCTCCAACTTATGGTGGTGGTGGTGGTGGTGGAAAACCGGCCCATCAACAGGGGATGGGGAGACGCGGCAAGGCGTCTGCGAAGAAGGCGGCGTGACACCGCATCGAAAAAGCTTCTGCCACCGCGCCGCAGGCACCGACCCGGCTCATGCACCGTCGAGTCCTCTACCGACTACGATCAATGCTCTCAAGGCCCCCGGGCCTGCAACTCACGGGCGCTCTTGGGCGCTTCTGCGACCTCCTGAGGCTTGGGTCCTAACTTTGCCAGAGCCCTGGACACGCTGTTGGGAGCCTTCGCTTCCGTGGAGACGTCTGGTGGGCCTCTGGGGCCGTCCTCGAAACCCTAAGGGCAGGCCCCCGAGGCAAGCATCATTGAGAAGCGCTTGGCTTCCACACGATTTCCAAATGCTCGCATTTTTGGCATTCAGCACGTCCAAGACGGCCCAAAGGCCCCCGGAGGTCCAGAGGCCCAGCGAACCCAAACCAAGACGGCCCCCGAGACCGCCAGCAAGCGACAACGAGACACCCAAAATTCCCTGAGAGGCCTCCAGAAGGCACCCAAGAGACCCCCAAGCCACCTCCAGGAGGCCCCGAAGAGGCCACAAAGAGCCTTCCAAGAGACCCCAACGGGTCTCTCAAAGGCACCTTGCCCATACCCAGGCACCATGGCGGGATGAGCCGAAGGCCACTTGACCAGCTCCAGTAAGAATCGGTTTGCCTAGTAAGTGTAGCCCTTGACGTACATGCCCTCCGCAGCGGTGGCGTCCTCGTCGGCCGTGGCGGCGTCGTACTCGCCCTTCTGGGCCTTGGAGTTGGCCCCCGCCCGCTGGAACAGCTTGGACTGCGCGGCCACGATGTTCTCGTCCTTGCCGGCCCAGGTCTTCAGCGTAGTGTTCTGGAGCGCGCGGGCGTACGAGAAAGAGACGTGCCACGGGTTCGGGCTCTGGTTCATCGCATTGAGGTTCTCCGTCGCCTGGATCTCGGACTGGCCGCCCGAGAGGAAGAAGATGCCCGGCACAGCCGGCGGCACCACACGCCTCAGCGCGCCGAGGGTGTACTCTGCCACGGTCTTCGGGTCCGCCGTTTTGCCAGACTGCGCGCCAGGGGTCACCATGGACGGCTTCAGGTACACCGCCTCCAGGCACACGCCGAAGTCGGCGCAGGCCTTGAAGACCGCCGCCCAGGTCTCCTCGAACGCCTCCAGGCACTCGTCGATGTCGTGCTCGCCGTCGAGCAGGATCTCGGGCTCGATGATGGGCACCAGGCCTGAGGACTGGCAGATGCTGGCGTAGCGCGCAAGGCCATGGGCGGCCTCCGCTACCGCGATCGAGGAGTGGTTGCGCACGCGCACTGTGGTGCGCCACTTCGCGAAGCGCGCGCCCGCCTTGTAGTAGTCGACGGTGCGCTCCTTGAGGTCGTCCAGGCCGCGGCACCAGTTCTCGCCCTCCTTCCCTCCTGTGAGGGGCACCAGGCCCGTGTCCACCTTGATGCCAGGGATCACGCCGTTCTCCTTCGCCAGGTCCACCATCTTCTTGCCGTCCGTGGTGTTCTGGTAGAGGGTCTCCGTGAACAAGATGGCACCGCCGCAGAAGTCGCCGAGGCCCTTGGTGCCGAGCAGCGTCTGGCGCCAGCGCTGGCGGTTCAGCTCGGTGTTCTCCACGCCGATGGACTCCAAGCGCAGGCCGCAGGTCCCGTTCGACTCGTCCATCGCGAGGATGCCCTTGCCAGGCGCGGTCATGGCCTTCACGGTCGCCAGGAGCTCATCCTTGTATTCGGCGCAGTGCGACCAGGGGTCCGAGGACGTGCCGACTTTCATGGACACCACACGCTTGCCCTTCTTCGCCCTGCGGGCGCCAGCGCGCGCCATGGCGGCAGTGCCGACTGCCACCGCCGCAAGGCCAGAGAGCGCCGAAGCCGCGGAGGAGGCCGGAGCGGAAGGCACAGTGGCACCGGGGGTCTCGAGCAGGACGGCGCCGCGCAGGGCCGCCTGGGGCAGCGCCGGAGGCTGCGCTGCGGCGACGAAGGCCGGGGAGGCGAAGGCGACACCGTCCATGCTGCCCAAGAAGCTGCTGTGCCACGGTAGGGCTGCTGTCGGGCACAAGAAGTTGGTAAAAATGCTCGGGCCAAAACGGCTGCAGAGAGCGTTTCGTCAGAGGCATCGGGCCCTGGGAGCGCAACCAGCAGGATCCTCAGGAGCCCAGATCCTTGGCGGCGCGCACAAGGGGGGGGAGGGAGGAGAGAGGGCTTCTTAGAAGGAGGCTGCTTCTTAGAAGGCGGCGGCCCTGTATCTGCAGATAAGGCCCGCGCCTTCTAAGAAGCAGGGGCGCTTCTTAGAAGCCCTCCCCCCTCCCCCACCCCCCCCTGCGCGTGACTGAGATCCTCAGGAGCCCACTGGCCATCGCTCGGACGTCCATTCCCTGTGTTTCATTTTCGGTTTCGTGCGTGGTTTTTCTCGCCAAATGATCAAGGATGCTCCTCGATGGTCCTTCGCCGAAAGAAAAATGCACACGTCCGAGCGATGCCAGGGCCAGCCCAAAGCATGAACCAGTGTGGATCGAACATTCGGCTGAAGGCCCGTGCGCAGACTCTGCCGGGCTCTTCTGCCACCCACGGGCTCCCGCGCGCCTTCTAAGAAGCAGGGGCGCTTCCGCCCCGCGCGCCTTCTAAGAAGCAGGGGCGCTTCTGAGAAGCCCTCCCCCCTCCCCCCCCCCCCCCCCCCGCGCGTGGCTGAGATTAGGAAGGCACCAACTATACACCAACACCGATCCTGGCCAGGATCACCCTGGGCCCAGGATCGGTGTATACGCCCTCCTGCCTTGCGCAAGAAGGCATATACACCGATCCTGGGCCCAGAGTGATCCTGGGCCAGGATCGGTGTTGGTGTATAGTTGGTGCCCTCCGAGAGATCCTCAGGAGCCCACTGGCCAGAGCATGAACCAGTGTGGATCTCGATCAATCGGTGGAGGGCCCGTGCGCAGCCTCTGCCGGGCTCGTCTGCCACCCACCGGCGCTCCCGACGCGCGGCCGAGGAGATGGCGGGGAGCCCGCGGGCAGGGGCCTCGGACCTCCGGGGGGGGGGGACGGGGCCTGCCACCGCGCAGGGATGCGAGGAACGGACGAGGTCCATCTTTGTGAAGGGGCCCCAGGGCACGCCAATAAATGCACACAAACAAAAAAGGATCCCCCGTATTTCCGCATATTTTTTCTGGGTCTCTGTCTTCCCCCCCCCGTCCCATAGTTTCCCACATGTTCTAGGACTCGACGATTAATTGTGTCCGTGTGTTTTTTCCCCTCCTGACTTTGGAGTGTACGACCCCTGGAAAACTGAAAGACCCTCGGCTCCCTTCCAGAGTCGAACGAAGAGTCAGGAGGCGTAGAGCACGTAAAGCATGACAGAGAGAGAGCCGAGGACCGCAATACACCGACAAGATCACGCCCGTGCCAGAAGACAGCATGACATACGGGTGCGCCTAAAACATGAGAAGACATGCAACAACCCAGCAATCCACAAACCGAGTTGAAAACGTTGCAACGTTGGAAACAACGTGGCAAACACGATTTAAGCTTGGAAATAAGGAATACTCAGGTACATCATACATATATATATATAGATACACAAGTGGCACGTGTGTGCCCAGGCTCATACAAAAAACTGAAGGGGCGTTTGAAGCAGGAGTGAAATGCAACATCGAAGTCGCACTCGAGCGCAAGTGGGGTTGCCACACCTTGCGATGTGTGTACCAGGACCCCCCAGGAAGCCTCAGGAGGCCCGACTTGGATACCAGAAGAGGCTCCAGGAGGCCCCAGGATTGTGAGTGTTGTGCGTGTGTGTGTGTGTGATGTATGCTTTGTGTGGTGCGTGCTTTTTGTGTGTTGTAGGTGTTGTGTGTGTGTGTTATGTTTGTCTAGCGTGTGATGTGTTGGGCGTGATTTGTGTCTCTGTGTGCATGTAGTTCTGAAGCCCCAGGAGGCCCCAGGAAGCCCCAGGCGGCCTCAGGAGGCCCCAGGAGACCCCAGGAGGCTTCAGGAGGCCCTAAGAGGCTCCAGGAGGCCGCAGGAGGCCCCAGGAGGCCCTAGGAGGTTTCAGGAGACCCCCAGGAGGCTCCGAGGCGGGGTCTGGGGTGCCAGAAGGTTCAGAAAGCCCCAGGAGGCCCCAGGAGGTTCCAGGAGGCCCCCAGGAGGCTCCGAGGCGGGGTCTGGGGCTCGATTTTGGAAGGATTTTCAAGCGAAACCGCCATTCCCTGAGAATCGGGGTCACAATTATTGAAATTACCATGTGTTTTTGAAGGTGTTATGTTAAAATGTTGAAATTCCCATGTGTTTTGGACCCTGACGTCACGATCTGCGTGAGGGGTGCCACCGATTTTCAGAAATTCGAGGATGTCCCGAGCGAAACGCCCAGAAAAATCGCGGACGCGTGCGCATTAATCGCCTCTGAGCTCTACTCCCTCGGAGAGGTGCGTATGATATATATATATATATATATATATAATATATAATTTATATATATACATATTCGTATGGAATATGTTCGGTGGCGTTGGTCCGAATTTCCTAGCTAGTTCCGCAACTTCTGCTTTCCTCAAGAAAACATCCGCACATGCTATGCACACTTCCTAAGCTGTTTCCACACTTCCGAGATGCACCCGAACTTGATCCATACACCACGCTCGTCCTGCACACCGACTCGTAGTTCGCAGAACTTGCGTGCGCTGCCGCCACAGAAGGCAACATGACTCACTCTGGACGTTCTGCCAACAACTTGCAAATTTGCCGAACACGCGCATTACAAATCCGTGTCTACGTGACTATCTGGCTGGATTCTGGACAGATCCAGAATCACCCAGAGTACGCATAATCGCCGCGAGGTCAAGGAAAGAATGATGAACACTTCATGTGCACACTTCACACCGTTTCTCTAGAATGCTGGCACTCCAAATGTTGGCGCTAAAGAAACACACGCACGAGGGAAGGTTGAAGGCTTCCCCTCTCGAGCAAAGTCGTAAACCTGTGAGACGAGACTGCGTCGTCGAGGCATCGAGCCGTCGCAAAGCAACACGAACCCGACAGGCCCGTGACCTCAATGCCTGCCGCACTGCAGCCCCTGTCACGTGGGCAGCCTCCCCTCCATCGAGCGCAGCAACCCCGTGAGAAAAGTGGCCGAAGCAGCTAGGTCGCCGGCGGAGGAGGGCCTCCGTTCGAGCCCTCACCGGCGCCACGGTTCGGCCCGGCGGCAGGGACTAACTGCCGCACTCAGTAGGTGTAGCCCTTGACGTACATGCCCTCCGCAGCGGTGGCGTCCTCGTCGGCCGTGGCGGCGTCGTACTCGCCCTTCTGGGCCTTGGAGTTGGCCCCCGCGCGCTGGAACAGCTTGGACTGCGCGGCCACGATGTTCTCGTCCTTACCGGCCCAGGTCTTCAGCGTGGTGTTCTGGAGCGCGCGGGCGTACGAGAAAGAGACGTGCCACGGGTTCGGGCTCTGGTTCATCGCATTGAGATTCTCCGTAGCCTGGATCTCGGACTGGCCGCCCGAGAGGAAGAAGATGCCCGGCACAGCCGGCGGCACCACACGCTTCAGCGCGCCGAGGGTGTACTCTGCCACGGTCTTCGGGTCCGCCGTCTTGCCAGACTGCGCGCCAGGAGTCACCATGGACGGCTTCAGGTACACCGCCTCCAGGCACACGCCGAAGTCGGCGCAGGCCTTGAAGACCGCCGCCCAGGTCTCCTCGAACGCCTCCAGGCACTCGTCGATGTCGTGCTCGCCGTCGAGCAGGATCTCGGGCTCGATGATGGGCACCAGGCCTGAGGACTGGCAGATGCTGGCGTAACGCGCAAGGCCATGGGCGGCCTCCGCAACCGCGATCGAGGAGTGGTCGCGCACGCGCACTGTGGTGCGCCACTTCGCGAAGCGCGCGCCCGCCTTGTAGTAGTCGACGGTGCGCTCCTTGAGGTCGTCCAGACCGCGGCACCAGTTCTCGCCCTCCTTCCCTCCTGTGAGGGGCACCAGGCCAGTGTCCACCTTGATGCCAGGGATCACGCCGTTCTCCTTCGCGAGGTCCACCATCTTCTTGCCGTCCGTGGTGTTCTGGTAGAGGGTCTCCGTGAACAAGATGGCACCGCCGCAGAAGTCGCCGAGGCCCTTGGTGCCGAGCAGCGTCTGGCGCCAGCGCTGGCGGTTCAGCTCGGTGTTCTCCACGCCGATGGACTCCAAGCGCAGGCCGCAGGTCCCGTTCGACTCGTCCATCGCGAGGATGCCCTTGCCAGGCGCGGTCATGGCTTTCACGGTCGCCAAGAGCTCGTCCTTGTACTCGGCGCAGTGCGACCAGGGGTCCGAGGAAGTGCCGACCTTCATTGACACCACGCGCTTGCCCTTCTTCGCCCTGCGGGCGCCAGCGCGCGCCATGGCGGCAGTGCCAACTGCCACCGCCGCAAGGCCAGAGACCGTCGAAGCCGCGGAGGAGGCCGGAGCGGAAGGCGCAGCGGCACCGGGGGTCTCTAGCAGGACGGCGCCGCGCAGGGCCGCCTGGGGCAGCGCCGGAGGCTGCGCTGCGGCGACGAAGGCCGGGGAGGCGAAGGCGACACCGTCCATGCTGCCCAAGAAGCTGCTGTGCCACGGTAGGGCTGCTGTCGGGCGCAAGAAGTTGGTAAAAGTGCTCGAGCCAAAACGGCTGCAGAGAGCGATTCGTCAGAGGCATCGGGCCCTGGGAGCGCGACCACTCAGGAGCCCAGATCCTTGGTGGCGGGCACAAGGGGGTGGAGGGATTCTAAGAAGCCCTCCCCCCTCCCCCACCCCCCCTGCGCGTGGCTGAGATCCTCAGGAGCCCAGAGGCATCGGGCCCAGGGGCACGACCAGCAACAATCGCCAAGAGCCCCAGGGCCAAAGCACGAGTAGAACCGAGCGAGAAATGATGCGGATGCACGCGGCAAGGGCTGCTGCCCTGCTCCCCTGGGCGACGCACGCGCCGCACCCGTGCCCCGGAGAGGACGCGCTTCGTGGGCACGTCCTCGGAATAGATTGTGGACACGTGGGACCCCGCCCTCCCCCTCCCCCTCCCCCTCCTCCCCCTTGCCGTCCTCCTCCTCCTCCTCCTCCTCTCCCTCCCTCCCCTCCCCTCCCCTCCCCTCCCCTCCCCTCCCCTCCCCCCCCCCTCCCCTCCCCTCCCTCTCCCCTCCCCTCCCCTCCCCTCCCCTCCCCTCCCCTCCCCTCCCCTCCCTCCCTCCCTCCCCCTCCCTCCCTCCTCCTCCTCCTCCCTCCTCCCTCCTCCCTCCTCCCTCCTCCCTCCTCCCTCCTCCCTCCTCCTCCTCCTCCTCCTCCTCCTCCTCCTCCTCCTCCCTCCTCCTCCTCCTCCTCCTCCTCCGCCTCCTCCTCCTCCTCATCCTCCTGCTCCTCCTCCTCCTCCTCCTCCTCCTCCTCCTCCTCCTCCTCCTCCTCCTCCTCTTCCTCCCTCCTCCTCTTCCTCCTCCTCCTCCTCCTCCTCCTCCTCCTCCTCCTCCTCCTCCTCCTCCTCCTCCTCCTCCCTCCACCGCCTGCCCCATGCCCCGAGCTTGTAGCACAGGCATCAGCTCGTCGTTGTCGTTGTCGGCTTGGTCATCGTCGTGGCCGTCGTCATCGACGTCGCCGTCGTCGTCGTCCTTCTGGGTCGACGACACCAGCCGTGAGGCCGTCACAATATTTGGACACGTGGGACCCCCCCCCAAAAAATACATTTAGCGCGCCCATGGGACCGGGCCCTTCCCCGCGGACGTCGGCCTCACAGGGGGGGGGGGTCGAACCGGCCCCCCCCTCTTTGCCTGTGCAAGAGGGGGGGGGGTTCGCACCGGGCCCCTCCTCCCTCACCCCACCCCCCTGTGCGGGGGGGTGGTGGGGGGTTCGACCCCCCCCCTCTGAATTGCCAGGACGACGACGACTACAAACACGCTACGTAAGCATATCAAGACTCTCAAGGAAAACAGCCAGTGCAGCTTCGAAATAGATCAGAAGGCTGACATGGAGTGGACTGGAGTGGACTGGAAAGACTGGACAGGAGAAGACTGGACTGGACCGGGGCAGGCTCTACTCAACTCTACTCTTTTATACCGACTCTACTCTACCACATACCCGATTATTCTCCAGAACACTCCGCTCGACTCTACTCCTACTGCTACTCCTACTCCTATTTCTACTCTGCTCTACTTTACCTTACTCTACTCTAAGCTACTCTACACGAGTCTACTCTATCATACTCTACTCTACTCTACTCTACTGCACTGATATCTACTCTACTCTGTCCCCACTCTGCCCAACTCCACTCTATGTTACCCTACTCTAATATACCGTGGACTTCTCTACTCTACTAAAGTTGCCTTAGTTGATTGCACACAACTCTACTCTACCACCTACCCTACTCTACCATACTCTGTCCTACTCTACCCCATTATGATCTACCCTACCCTACGCTGCGCAAACCTACTCTACACCATCCTATACTACACTGCACTGCACTGCACTACACTACACTACACTAAACTACTTTACTCTATTTCTAATACTACTCCTACTCGTGCTCTACTCCTGCGCCACTCTGCTGCCACTCGATTAGACTCTGATATGATTTGTTCGTTTCTACTCTCCTCTGTTCGAGTCTACTTTACTCTATTATACCTGCTCTACTATACCATCGACCTACTCGATTCAACTACCAATATACTCTACAACCCTACCCTGCCCGAACTTACTCTACGCTTACTCCACTCTACTCCTAGTCCTACTCGACTCTAGTCGATCTCACTATATTGTACCCGACTTTCCTCTACTCTCTACCATTCCCTACCCTACTCTACTCTACTCTAGTCTACCCTACTCCACTCTTCCCTACCCTACCAAAACTTTGTTTCGAGGCGGCCGAAGCAGCCGAAGACTATGGGCTCGTAGGCCGTCGCTCGCCGTCGTCGTCGAAAAACGCATTTCTAGATTAATCATGGTTGCTCTCCGGAAACGGTTCCGCGCGCTCTCGCCTCGACGCCGGCTACATTTTCTCTGAAAACGAAGCTCCCGCTCGAGCGTTGGCTCGAGTGTAAAAGTGGGTTCTTGGAGGGCCCAGCTACGACGACAACGGCTCCCGCTCGACAATTCCTCACAATTTACCCGAAACACCCTGGCCAAAGAGACTCAGGAACGGCGCTCTCGCTCGAGACTTCCTCGCAATTCAATCAAGTTGGCGGAGGCCCAGCCACGACGACAAGGGCTCCTGCTCGACATTTCCTCACGATTTACTCCGAAAGCCCCTGGCCAGGAAGGCCCCCGAACTCAGGAACGGCGCTCTCGCTCGAGACTTTCACGCGATTCGGTCAAACTGGTGCAGGCCCAACTACGACGACAATGGCTTTCGTTCGATACTTCCTCACATGTATTCGCAAAGGCCCTTGCCAGAGAGACCCCCGAACTCAAGAGTAACGCTCTCGCTCGAGACTTTCTCGCAATTCAGGCAAATTGGTGGAGGCCCAAACACGGCGACAATGGTTTCCATGTATATTCCGTGAGCCCCTGGCCAGATGCCCCCGAACTCAGGAACGGCGCTCTCGCTCGAGTTCCTCGCACCTCAGCCAGTGGCCGCCCGAACCGGTCCGCAATCGCAGACGAAGTGGGCGGGTATCGAGGGTTGGGGCATACAGAATGCAAGACACGCGTGCCAGTAAAAACGAAAACTCTTAAAGTGATCGTCGTCGTTGCCCGCATCGTCGTCGTCGTAACCGTCGTCGTCGTCGTCGTCGTCGTCGTCGTCGTCGTCGTCGTCGTCGTCACCGTCGTCGTAGTCGTCATCGTCATTGTCGACGGCGCCACCGTCAGTCGTAGTCGTCGTCGGCGTCGTCGGGGTCGTCACCGTCGCCGTCGTCGTCGTCGGTCACCGTCTGCGTCGTCGTCGTCGTCACCGTCGGCGGCGGCGGCGTCGTCGTCGTCGTCACCGTCTGCGTCGTCGCGGGCGTCGTCGTCATGGTCGGCGAGGTCGTCTTTTGCCATTGGAGAAGGGTTTGAGGAGCCTGCGGGGAGCCGGTTTGACCACTTTCCCTCCAGTTCTCAAGCGGGGCGATGAGAGGGGGGGGCGGCTCGAACCCCCACCCCCACTGCAATTCAGGTGGCCCCCCCCGGGTTCCCCCCCCCCTTCCAAGCGTCCACAGAACGTGCTCCTCGTACCTTGTCATTCAGGAGGAAAAGAAACACACAACCACAAGTAATCCTCGATTCCCCAGAAAATATTGGAAAATATGGGAAGTGGTGGGGAAGACAGAAACCCGGAAAATATGGGGAAAATATGGGGAATATGTTTATATGTGTGTATCTATTTGTGTGTCCTGGGGCCCCTTCAGCCATGTCAGCGCTGCACAGAAGCTGCCTGGCAGCGCTGCCGTCCCGGACCTCCTTACGCGCTCCTGCAGAGGAACAGGAGGAGGGGGCCTGGAGTTGACCCGCCCGTCGCAAGACGCATCGACATCAACGACGCCGCAGCATACCCTCCCGTCGCAGGTCTCCTTCTCACGCGTCCCTCCAGGCATCCTGCGCGAAACGGGGCCCTGAAAAGACAGACACCCCACGCGCCCGCAAGTCGCGCGGGAGCTCGGGGCTGAACAAATACACTGCCCTCTGCACCTCGAGAGTTGAGCACTTCGACAGGGCGGGGGCCACATGATTCTTAGGAAAAGGCCCAATGACAATTCCACTCTGAAATAGAGAGGAGGAGGAGGAGGAGAAGGAGGAGGAGGAGGAGGAACCGCCCTCCGTCCGTGCAACCGTTCCACAGCTCGGAACTTCGGGTCAGAACACCTGGCGGAGTCTCCGGCGAAGCCTCAGTTTGACAAGGGGCCGCCCTCCATCGGTGCACATGCTGCACAATGTTACTCCAGATTTCGTAATAAAGGGATGGGGGTCTCATTTCGGGGGGGGTCTCTTCCAGGCTATCTTGGAGGGCCTGGGGGGTCTGGGGACGATGTTTTGGAGGGTTCTCCCACGGGGGGGGGGGGTCTGAAATGGCTTGTCTTGGAGGGTCCAAACCCCCTCCCTTTTATTACGAAATCTGGAGCAGCGAAGTCTCCAGCGAAACCTCCGTTTGAAAAGGGGCCGCCCTGCATCGGTGCACGTGTTGCACAATGGTACACCTGTGGAAGAACGGTGCGGGATTCTCATATCATAGCCCACCTTGAAAAAGAATCGCCCTCCGTCCAACTGTTGACACGTTTCCGACAAGGGAGCGCAGCGCCAAAGCCACAGGCCGCACACGATCCTCCTCCTCTTCCTCCTCCTCCTCCTCCTCCTCCTCTCCTCCTCCTCCTCCTCCTCCTCCTCCTCCTCCTCCTCCTCCTCCCCTCCTCCTCCTCCTCCTCCTCCTCCTCCTCCTCCTCCTCCTCCTCCTCCTCCTCCGCCACTCGCCCGTGCACGTGCGGAAACGTACCCCAAAAAGGCGCGACGCCGGAGCGAGTGCCCCCCTTGTGTGAAAACGGCTCCCTCCCTCCCTCCTCCCTCCCTCCCTCCCCTCCCCTCCCTCCCTCCCT